AGGGTCCAGACCCAAAACGTCAGCTTTCCTGCTCCTCTGATGCTGCTTGGCCTGCTGTGTTCATTCAGCTCTACACCTTGTTATCTCAGATTCTCCAACATCGGCAGATCCTACTATCTCTGAACTGATCTACAACAAGTTCATTTATATGGTATCTTTATATCCCAAGGCACCTCTCAAGAGTGTTATCAAATACAATTTGACTCCACATGAAAGGTCAAATTACTTCTTAAAAAAAAGTCTTGGAAGAAATTTTCCTTCACATCTTTGCTGTAAAAAGAGCTTGTTTTCCTTCATGCTTATTCATGTCATTGAGGGAGCTGTGCAGGAAAAGCTACAGTGCAAAAGGGAATGGATTAACGTCAGGGCAAATGATTTGATTAGCAGGGGTGTGGATGAGTATTACAGGCTAAAAGGTATCAGCTTGTGTCCCCATTGTCTGCCTCAACGGCAGGACAGACCCAGCAGAGGGGGCATCAGAGTGGGATATCATTGGGAGGGAATTGCCCTGAAAGTCCTCACCATTGACAATGGACGTTGTGAAGTCTCATGACTTCAGGTTAAAGATGGGCAGGGAAACCTCCTGTTGGTAACCAAGTACGACCCTCCCTTGATGGACAAACCGGTGCTCCTCTATGTTGAACACTGAGGATGGCGAGGGCACTAATTGCGGGTAGCTGATTTCAATGTCCACCACCAAGAGTGGCTCAGCAGCAGTAATACTGATCGAGCTGGTCGGGTCCTGAAGGACGTAGCTGCTAGACTGGGTCTGCGGCAGGTGGTGAGGGAATAACATACTTGACCTCATCCTTACCAATCTGCCAGCTGCAGTTGCATCTGTCCATGACAGTATCGGTAAGAGTGACCATCGCACAGTCCTTGTGGAGACAAAGTCCCACCTTCACATTGAGAACAACCTCCATCGTGTTGTGTGGCACTATCACCGTGCTCAATGGGACAGACTTCGAACAAATCTAGCAACTCAAGTCTGGGCATCCATGTGGCGCTGTGGGCCACCAACAGCAGCAGAATTGTACTCCAGTACAATCTGTAACCTCATGGCCCAGCATATCCCTCACTCAACCATTACCATCAAGCCTGGGCATCAACCCTGGTTCAATGGAGAGTGCAGGAGGGCATGCCAGGAGCAGCACCATAAAAACCTAAAAATGAAGTGAATACCTGGTGAAGCCACAAAATAGGACTACCTGCACGCCAAGTGACAGACAGAGCTAAGTGAGCCCTCAATCTTAGGTCAAATCTAAGCTCTGCAGTCCTGCCACATCCAATTGTGAATCTTGGTGGACAATTAAAGAACTCACTGGAGGAGGAGGCTCCACAAATATCCCCATCCTCAATGATGGAAGAGCCCAGCACATCAGTGCAAAAGATAAGCTTTCGCAGCAATCTTCAGCCAAAGTGCCAAGTGGATGATCCAACATGGCTTCCTCCAGTGGTCCCCAGCATTACAGACATCAGTCTTCAGCCAATTCGATTCACTCCACATGACATTAAGAAACGGTTGAAGGCACTGGATACTGCAAAGGCTATGGGCCCTGACAACATTCCTGCATAGTAGTGAAGGCTTGTGCTCCAGAGCTTGCTGCTCCCCTAGCCAAGCTGTTCCAGTACAGTTACAACACTGGCATCTACCCGACATTGTAGAAAATTGCTCAGGTATTTTCTGTACACAAAAAGCAGGACAAATCCATCCCGGCCAATCACCACCCCATTAGTCTACCCTCGATCATCAGTAAAGTGATGGAAGGTGTCAGTAACAGTGCTATCAAGCAGCACCTGCTCAGCAATAACCTGCTCAGTGATGCCCAGTTTGGGTTCCACCAGGGCCACTCAGCTCCTGATCTCATTACAGCCTTGGTTCAAACATGGACAAAAGAACCGAGTGTGGCTTTAAGGAACCCTGGCAAAACTGGAATCAATGGGTATCAGGGGGCAAACTCTCTGGTAGTTGGAGTCATACATGACGCATAGGAAGATGGTTGGGGTTGTTGGAGGTCAGTCATCTCAGCTGCAGGACATCTCTGCAGGAGTTCCTCAGGGCCGTGTCCTAGGCCCAACCATCTTCAGCTGCTTCATCAATGACCTTCCCTCCATCATAAGTGGGGATATTCACCGATGATTGTTCAGTATTGTTGGCAACTCCTCGGATACTGAAGCAGTCCATGTTCAAATGCAACAAGAATTGGACAATATCCATGCTTGGGCTGAAAAGTGGCAAGTAACATTCATGCCACACAAATACCAGGCAGTGACCATCGCCAACATGACACAAGCTAATTACTCCACCTCGGCATTCAACGGTGTTACCGTCAATGGGCAATAAATGCCGGCCTAGCCAGTAATGCACAAATCCCACAAGTGAATAAAGAGAGAGACTCTGCAGGGGCGAGAGTATAGTATTCCCCATTTAACATCACTTTGATTTAATCCCTCCATTGCTTTCCCCAGCTTTTTGTCTTTTTTGTCTTTATTGCACTGCCCCTGCTGCTTGTTAATTGTTTATTCGGGTGATTGGGTGGTGGGTTTGTAAAAAAAATAAAGAGAGACTTCTATAACAGAGGTATAGAGTAGATAGACATTTGTAATAATGTATTCTGTAGTGCTAGGCTGATACCCAGTATGGAGGGACTGTCTTATGAGGTGAGATTGAGTAGATTGGGCCTAAACTCATTGGAGTTTAGAAGAATGAGAGGTGACCTGATTGAAACATACAAGAATCTAAGGAGACTTGCCAGGGTAGATGTGGAAAGGTTGCTTCCCCTTGTGGGAGAGTAGGGGACCAGAGGGAAATGTCTCAGAATAAGGGGTCATCTGTTTAATACAGAGATGAGGAGAATTTCTTCTCTCAGAGGGGACTGAATCTGGAATTCTTTACCACAGAGGACTGTCAAAGCTGGGTCATTAAGTATAGTCATTAAGGGAATCAAGAGTTATGGGGAAAAAGCAAGAAAGTAGAGTTCAGGGTTATCTGATCTGTAACAATCTCATTGAATGGCAAAGCAGAGTCAATGGGCTGAATGGCCTATTTCTGCTCCTACATCTTATGGTCTAAGTAAAAGATTGATGTCTGGTTTCCTACTGCGCAATCTGACTCCAAAATAAGTTAACAACCGACATTAGGAATATGAGGACATTAGGTTTTTATCATTCCTTTGTGAGTCAAAATCTCAGAACTCCATCCTTCGCAGAACAATGCACATACCTTTACCCAATGGATGGCTGCAGCTCAAGGTGGTAACTCAGCTCCCACTTCTCAAGGCAAACCAGGGACTGACATTGAATATTGACCTTGAGCAGTGACACTCACATCCCATGAGGGAAGGAATAAAAATAATCCCTTTGGAAGAGTTTTTACTGATGTCTCTTCCACCACCTACTGAGGCAGTGCAGACCCGAAATGTAACTATTCCTCACAAGGAAACCAGCAGCAAAAGGTACAAAAATGTACAATCTCACTCACCCTTCTTGGCACTATCATGGAGATTGGCTCAATTACTCCTTTCAGCGTAACCAACTTATAAAACCTGAACACTTCACAGATGGTCACGTCCAGCCCATGTTTTGGCATCACACCTGGAACATGTGCAAAGCAGCCGTCAGCAAATTCACATCCCTCCCAAAGAAAAGCCGAATACTGTGGATGCTGGAAACCCGGAACAAACACAGAGAGTGCTGGAGAAACTCAGCAGGTCTGGCAGCACCTGTGGAGAAAGAGCGAGAAAAACTGAGTTAATGTTTTGAGTCCAGAATGACTTCTTCAGGAACAGTTCTGAAGAAGAGTCAGGCTGGAATTGAAACCTTAACTCCACTTCTCTCTGTACGGATTCTGCCAGATTTGCTGAGTTTCTTCAGCATTCTCTGTGTTTGCTTCTCATTCCTCTCAGGTTTAACGCATGTGAGAAACCGAAACTTCCCGTTGGAGGAAGGTCACTTTCCACGAAATGGCCCGTGGATCTAAATGGAACAAATTGGGATAGCTTCATTCTTGGTAGTGCCTTTCCCTACTTTTGGTTTAAGTGTTGCGGACTAAAGGTCAGCTAATATATAATGAGCTTTTACAACCTGGAATTTTGCTCCAGTGCTGGCCCTGAGGAATGTAAGTTCCTGCAAAACAATATCATGCTGTGCTACTTGATGTGAGAAGACATTTGCCATTGTCTGAGAAACTTTGTGATGGTACAAGGTACTAACAGTATATCTCAGGTAGTTCAGTTGCTAATTGTCTGCTTTCGGTCGACAGCAACCTCATGCATCCTCGAGGTATAACCTTGTGGCCATATTCAGAGGTTTGTCAAGTTAAGGGAAATGAGTACTTTTTTTTCAATATATTGCTTGAGGCATTCTGAGTAGACGCTTGGACTTCTCACTATCTCACTGGGCAGTGCATTACGATCCCAGCTGATGTTAATACTTGAAAAGTTAGAGACCTGACTTGATAGACCCTTAGCTTTGTTTTTTTGTTAAAGCCATGGAAGTCAGTTATACAGTCACAGAGTCATACACACGGATACAGACCCTTCGGTCCAACCAATCCGTGCCGACCATAATCCCAAACTAAACTAGTCCCACCTGCCTGCGAGTGGCCCATATCCCTCCAAACATTTCTTATTCATGTACTTATCCAAATGTCTTATAAATGTTGTAACTGTACCTGCATTCACCACTTCCTCTGGCAGTTCATTCCACACACAAACCACGCTCTGTGTAAAAAAAATTGCACCTCATGTCTTGTCAAAATCTTTCTCCTCTCACCTTAAAAATATGCTCCCTAGTTTTGAAATCCTCCACCTTAGGGAAAAGACACCTGTCATTCACCTTATCTGTACTCTCATTATTTTATAAACCTCAGTAGCTTCCTCTCAATCTCCTACGCTCCAGTGAAAAATGTCCCAGCCTCTCCTGATAACTCAAACCCTCCTTTTTCGGCAGCATCCTGGTAAATTTCTTCTGAACCCTATCCAGCTTAATAATATCGTTCCTGTAATAGGGTGACCAGAACTGGGCATAGTACTCCAGAAGAGGCCTCACCTATGTCCTGTACAACCTCAACATGACATCCCCAACTCCTACATTCAAAGGTCTGAGCAATGAAGGCAAGTGTGCCAAATGCCTTCTTAACCACCATGTCTATCTGTACTGCAAACTTCAAAGAACTATGTACCTGAACCCCGAGGTCTCTCTGTTCTTCACCACTGCCCCAGGCCTTACTTTACATTATATAAGTCTTGTCTTTGTTTCTTTTACCAAAATGTAATACCTCACATTTATCCAAATTAAACTCCATTTGCCACCCTTCAGCCCATTGATCCAATTGATCAAGATCTCTTTGTAACCTTAGATAATCTTCTTCACTGTCCACTATACCAGCAATTTTGGTGTCATCTGCAAACTTACTAATCATGCTTTCTCTAATCTCATCCAAATCATTTATATAAATGACAAATTAAAGTGGACCCAGGACTGATCCCTGTGGATCACGCTGGTCACAAGTCTGAAAAACAACCCTCCACCATCACTTTCTCTCTCCTGCCATTAAGCCAATTTGGTATCCAATTGGCAAACTCACCTCGAATCGATGTTACTGAACATGTTCACAAGAGTCTGCCAGTGTACATTTAATGCAAAGAATAAAATGTTCTTCAGACAAGAAAACCATGAGCTATTATTGCCCTAGACAAAATGTTGGAAAGATTGCTGTACAAATACTAGTAAAAGGATTCAAACCGCACACTATTCCTTTTATCCCAGCAATATCCTTACAAAATAGCAAACGTGTGAAAATTTATCACTTCTTGCTCAGGCTGACACGGCTGCAACTGGTTTCCTTCTGGCGAATGTTTACACATCCACTTGTTCATCAGCTGGTATCTCTCTCTGAGACACCTAAAATTCCAAATTAAACTCACTATTGCTTTAACTTCAGGGCAAACACCAGTTCCCTAAAACCCAGTTTTCAGCTGTCTTGCCAGATTTCTTAAAAGAGAGTTTAAACCTCTGCTTCCTCCCTCCACTCTCTGGCACAACAACACACTAACTTCCTGACTCAAGATATTTCTGTATCTCTGTGATCCTAGACCCCTCTCACTAGGTAGCAGCACAGGTTTTTTTTTTGTCTGCTTTGTTTTTTTAACCCTAACACAATTACACGTAAAACCTGTCTTGTGTACAAAACTACAGATGTCCCAGCTTCAAGGCTGCAAAACTCAAAACTGAAACTAAACCATATCTTTCCCTTCTTAACACACGAAAAATATAAAATATGCAAAAACCTAGAGTTATACGTTGGTCTTAACAAATGGGGAATTATTACTGGAACTCTGCCTTAGGTCATTATGGGCATCCCACCTTTTCAATCTCTCCCCCTCGCCTGAGACATGATGACCCTCATTTAAACATTTGAGGTGTACAAGATGATGAGAGGCATAGGTACAGTGGATAGTCAGAGACTTTTTCTCAGGGCGGAAATGACTATTACAAGAGGGCATAGTTTTAAAGTGATTGGAGGAAGGTATAGGGGAGATTTCAGAGATAGATTCTTCACACAGAGAGTGATGGGTGTGCAGAATGCGCTGCCAGAAGTGGTAGTGGAGTCAGATACTTTAGGGACTTTTAAGCGACTCTTGGATAGGCACATGGAGGATAGTAAAATGTAGGGTATGCAGGGTAGTTTGATCTTAGTAGGATAATAGGTCGGCACAACATTGTGGGCCGAAGGGCCTGTACTGTGCTGTACCGTTCTATGTTCTATGTTAAACAACCACCTGTTGTCTCTCTCTCTCTATCTCTCTCTCTTTCCAATGAGAGAGCAGTCCTGTGGTGCTTTGGGACTGTAATGACTTTAGCTTTAATCCCTGTATTACTGGACAATGGTAGACTGGTGCCATTAGAAGCAATGGAAGACCCTGCCTTGTTTCCATCGATGTCGATCACAAACACTTCTGAAATAAATGGTACCAGTGTGAGATCTTACCCATCCCTTTCTGTGGAGCAGGCGAACGATATTCCATCAGATAGTGAAGGTATGGCTTCTCCGTGCTAATTTCATAATATCTAATGTTGCCATCGCCCTGTGAGAAAGGAAGAAGAGTTACAGTAATTAACAATTCTGTTGGGCTTGGGTGGGAGATTTTGACCGTGGCAGATCGGCCTGTTAGCTTATGTTATCTCACCCTGTATCCATCACTGTGGCTTCAAATGGCAATGGATTCAGGTACTACATTGAAAATGAAACTCTGTCAGCACCGCGCGATTCAGCCAGGGTGGAACAAACCAAAAAAAAGGATGTGAACAATGGGTGTGGGACAGGGAGGCCATTCAGCCCTCACACTGCCTGCTCTGTCATTCACTTAAATCAAGGATGATCTCCACCTCACTTTTGCTCTATATGCCTTGGTGCCCTGACTTGACAAAAATTTATTAAGCTCAGTCTTAAAATTTTCAATAGACCTCAGGTATCTGCAGTTTTTTAAACATAGAACAGTACAGCACGGGAATAGGCCCTTCAGCCCACTGTGTCTGAGCTGACCATGATGCCATTCTAAACTAATCCCATCTGCATCCACCAGATCCATAGCCCTCTATTCCCTGCCTGGTTCTGTCTAAATGCCGCTTACAAAGACAAGAGTGACCCCTGTCATGGTTCTTGAAGGAATGGGAATTATATTTGGGAAAAGGGTACTTAATGGGCCAGGTCTTGGAGAAGAAAGTTTCAGATTTGCACTACCTTTTGTTTGAAACATGCTTCCTGATTTCCTTTGTGGCTCTGACTTTGAGACGCTGGTTTCTTGACTCCATAACCTGTGGAAATAGATCTCTGTACCTTCCAAGTAATATGCTTTTTAAACAGCTTTTTACCCATCTCTGCAAACTCAGGGCTCTTGTTAGATAAACAAACAGAAAAAAAACAAATTTCCTTCCATATATTTTTTGTATCAGATTCAAATCCCACCACAGCAGCTGATGGTTTTTCCACTTGATAACAAAAGTGAGGAATTAAAAGCTAGTCTCAGTAATGGTGAGTGTGAAAACTATTGTCGATTGCAATTAAAATCTATCCGGGTCACTAATGTTCTTTAGGAAAAGAAATCTGCCGCCCTTACGTAGCATGGCCTACGTGTGACTCCAGGCCGACAGTGATGTAGTTGACTCTTAACTACCCTTGGAAAATGGCTGAGCAAGCCACTCTGTATAAGGTCAACTGAAGCAGGGCAACAAATGTCACATCCCTTGAAAGAATAATAACAAAAAAAAAGGATTATCCCAGATTCTCATTATATTTCTGTCCAGGGACCATCAGAAGCTCGAAGGTGACAGTTGATTTGACGCAAGTCTTACTGCTCTCCTGTCAGAGCAGCATTGGCTGAAAGGGACCCATTTGTCTAAAAAACTCAATTGGAAATGGTTATCGGGGGGAGCTTGTATTTCAGGTAAAATCAGATCAGCCATGATCTTAGTACCTGGTGTAGTAGGCTCAAGAGGTTGAGCAGACTCTTCTGTGCTCTTTTTATGTACTCTCATAAATGTCATTGTAACATTAGTGGCTTCAAACATGCCTGGTGTCCCAGATAATGAGGCTCATACCACAGAAAGGCTTAGAACCTCCCCCCTCCCTGCTTTGAAGTATATTCATCTTTAAGGGTGGCCTGGTGACTCAGTGGTTAGCACTGCTGCCTCACAGCACTAGGGTCCTGGGTTCGATTCCACCCTCAGGTGAGTGTTGTGTGAAGAGTTTGCACATTCTCCCATGTGGGTTTCCTCCCACAGTCCAAAGATGTGTAGGCTAGGTGGATTGGCTCTGGGTAAAGGGGATGCTGTTTGGAGGGTTGGTGTGGACTTGTTAAGCTAAATGGCCTGTTTCCACACTGTAGGGGTTCTATGATTCTGATGAAAGTACTTGTCAGTGAAGTGTTGTGATTCTGTTGGAGGCTTCAGGAGAGATTTTCCCTTGTGGGGGAATCTACAAAAAGGAGACATACTTTCAGAATAAGGGGTCCCCCTCTTAAAGAGAGATGAAGAGGAAGTTCTTCTGTCAGGAGGGTTGTTAATCTTTTCCGTCTATCCCCAGAAAGCTGCACTGGTTAATTTACTCATTGAATATATTCATGGCTGAGATAAACAGATTCTTGAGCATTGGGGAAGTCAAGGGCTGTGAGGAACGCACAGGAACGTGGCACTGAGGCCAAGATAAGATCAACCATGATCTGACTAAATGATGGAACAAGTTTGAGGGCTGAATGGCCTCCTTCTACACATACTTCTTAAAGGCACCATAGTCCCAGAGGGCTGTACTTTCACTAGACGGTGAGAGAGAGAGAGAGCGATGACAGGAAATTTTCCCTAAGGCAGCCAGACATAAAATGGCAAAAGAGGTTTGGTTTGGACAGCTGGTTTGTGATGAGAGTGACGTCAAGAGCACAGGTTCAATTCCTACACCAGCCACAGTTGCGATGTAAGTCCTGCCTTACGAAACCACCCCTTCACCTGAGTCATGGGAGCTTCAGGTTAAACTCCCCCCCATCTCTCTCTCTGTCTCTCTCTAATGAGAGATCAGCCCTCTGGGACTATGGTGCCTTTAACTTATCTTTAAAGCAGCAAAGTTCAAGGTGTAGTGTGTGGTAGTGTTATTGTATTATTAAAACATCTATCCATTTTATAATTTCTGATAAATGACTAGTAATGTACCTTTCCAGCTAAATAAAGCATGTGAGTATCAACATCATAGAAGGGAAACAAGAGCCCCGAGAGTCCATCAATTTCCTCCTCTTTTATTGGCATTGATAAGTCTTCCTAAAGAAAGAAAGTGAATCAGAGTTAAATAAAGACCCTTGCATTTGTACTACAGGCTGTGGTAGCACAGGGGTTATGTTACCAGATTATTGATAGGGAAACATGGGTTCTAATCAATTACTTAAATATACAAGGACTTAAATAGTTAGTATCAATGAGATGAGTGGATCTTAATATCCATCTAGTTCACTAACGTTCCTCAGGGAAGGAAATCTACCATTCTTACCTGGTCTGGCCTGGATGTGAGTGCAAGTGCCAACAGCATTGCTGTGAACCTAACTGCCTTTTGAATCATTGACAAAGGCACTCAGTTGTTTGGGAATGCCCAAGTCATGCTAGTCTTGTCAGCGATGTCCATATCCATTGAATAGACTTTTTTAAAAAAAACACAACCACATCTTTCAGAAACGGGTTAGAGATTTGTCCCCCTGGTACGGTGACTGTAGAGAGATGCAGCAGCCAATTTAATCACAGGAAGATCTCCCAAACAGTGAGCGATGAGTCCCCTGTTGATGGCATGGTTTGAGGGAGAACAGTTGGTCAAAAGGAAAGACAAGCAACTCATCTGATGCCCACCCTCATGTGCCAATTATCAGTTTATCCAGAATTCTTAGGAAACTGGGCACGGTTCATCTGTGCAAAGTTTTCTTGCTACTCACTCTTCACCCCTTGGATTTTATCCATTGGTGGTTAGTTTAACTTAATCCCATAAAAATTTTAACTAAAAAAACAGCAATCCTCAGGGTGTGAGCGTCACAGTTTTTTATCCATCCTTGGGAAATGCTGTTGGGGTATCAGTCTTAGCTGTGATTGGTGGTTTCAGTATAACTGATGGCTTTTAAAGATAATTCTGTGGACACAGCTGAGTCAAGCATTATGGTGTGGTACTTATTCTGGGGTCAGTCATAGACCAGCATCTGAGTGGGCAGCAGATTTCCTTCCCTAAAGAACATTAGTGACCAGGTGAGACGACACTGGTCATGAAACGAACACTCCAGGAATACGGCCAATTACAGTTGGTAACTCTAACCCTGTTGTTGTTCGACATCTGTAATGAACAGCTGCTCTGCAATGTATTTCATATTTGATGCCATCTACCACTTCAAGCAACAGTACTGCAGAGAGAGCCTGACCACTGCTCGGCTTTTCAAGGTCCTAAAGACTCGAGATATTTTCTTGGATCTGTTCTTCGTTATACTGACCTGATCCCAGAGGGCAATCTGCCTGGTGTTCCATCTGGACACGCCTGTGGTGAGCAACCTCTTTGTATTCCCCAGGATCACCACTCGGTTCACTTTGTGATTCTTGCAATTTGCTTCCTGCAGAGACAGAGCAGATAGACACAGACACGGGATAAAGGAACATGAATAAGTTCATTCATCTAGTCATCTAACTCAGTACCTTCTCCATACCCTCAGATCCTTTTAGCCCTCAGAACTATATCAAACTCCTTCGTAAACATTTAATATTTTTGCTTCAAACACGTTCAATGGCTCATTGCTCCCTGGGTGAAGAAAGTTCTCCACATCTCAGTCCTAAATGGCCGATTCTGTATCCTTAAACTGTGACCCCTGGTTCCAGATTCCCTGGTCATTGGGAAAATCTGTCCCACGTTTACTTTGTCCGGTCATGTGTCTGACATTGCTCATGCCTCTCCAGTCGTGTTTTATGTAAGACTTGGAGTAAAATGGATTTGCTTCGATCCTGATTAACCCTTTCAGCTGTTCCTCATATTGACCACTGTAGAACAGTGCAGAATGGGAACCAGGAAGTGTTAGCTAGAATAATAGATTCAATGTCAAATCAGGCACAGCAATAAAGTAGAGGGAAGATAGATTCAATTTGCAGAGAGTAGAAGATGGAAGGGAAAAGTAAGACTTAAATAATTTAACATTGGAACAAACTCCAACAGTAATTAAAAGCTGAAGAAGTAAGAGTCTACATTTGTTAACATTAATTTTCAGTATCAGAGAGAGTTTATATAATTGAGATTATATAAGCAATAATTGAGATTTACCACATTAAAATGGATCCTTACACTAAAACAGACAATTCCTAACTCGCTGTAGCAAGCTCAGTCTGTAGCTATGATGTCAGTACAGTCTGTGTGCTGTTCAGTACATTTTAATGAGATCCAGACCTTGAGATGTCACTTCTGCACAATTTACTAAGGAGTGGTTCGTCTTGGCAGTAACTTCAGATTTTCATGTTTAACTGTGCATTTACACTCAGCTGCCATTGCTGGATGATTTTTGCTTAATTAATGCTCAACATTTTTCACCTCAGCATTATTTTTACAGTTAGTTCTGATCTAATAATTTCTGCTGTTGCCTCTGTTTGCTTTTCCTGTTAAATCACCCAGAGTTTTATGAAAGGACAGGAGGTACATGGAGCTTCTCTAGACAAATGTAAAATGCTGAACTGCAGCATCAATGCTCTTGTCCTAACTCCAGCCTGCAGTTCCACTTAGCCCATGATGTAGCCTCAGTTTTTTTCTACTATAGAGGATTCCTTTTGAATGGTCTTAAGAGTAATATTGACAATTTTTTACACTCATACAGGCTGCAGCCTCCAACAAGTTAACACAGCTCAAAGGCTTCAAGGAGAAATGACTAGCTGAGCCACTTCTGATATTTAAACTGTCTTGTGTAGTGCATTATTCATGGTGTGATGGTAAATGGAGATGTCAAACGGCAGTTTAAATATTTAATTCTGAAAATTATCTGTGTTGCTTGTCTTGCAAAAATTGAGCTAATGAAGAATAACATTCACAGTTTGACCTCATGATCAGTGTTTGGGGCGGACAGGGTTCCTCAGGTTCACGCAGAATGTGGGCAGAGATACCAAGCTCCCTGTCTCCGAACTTCCAGTGATTTTGGATGGCGACATCGATCCCACTGGCCTCTCTGCGACTTGCATTATGTTTGAATCACTCAGTCATGGACTTCACTTCCCCTTTCTAACATGCTGACCCATTCGGGTGGTAACGAGTATCTCACCAACAGCTCAACATACCAGTGTTGTACTGCAGTGCCAAGTAACCTGCTGTTTATTCTGAACAAACCTCAACCCGTCTTCAGCTCCGCTGCCCCTATCCATTTCTGTCCCATGTTTCCACCACCCCCCCCCCCCCCCCCCCCCCCCCAGTAGCCCCTGTCTTGACTGACCCACACTTGCTTCTGGATAGGACTGTCAGCTCTTGGACATAGTCCTGTAGCTTTAATCACATGCTCTTCCACCTCCACCTACCCCTCCCAACCCACAGCATTTTTACGCATCTCCTATCTCTTTATATTCAATAAATAATGAAAGATTAAAATGGGGATGAAAGATTATCTGGGATATGCAGGAATGAGGTTAAAATCAAGTCAGCCAAGATCTTATTGAACAGTAGAGTCATCCTGAAGGGCCGAGTGGCCTACTTTTGTTCCTTATTCACACTTTTGTAAATTAAATTTAATAGCAAATTGGTTTCTTCTCCTGGGTGTTGTTCGCTGGAGATTAATCTGTAATTTCCAGAGACTGCTGTAACTGTTGGCAACTGTTCTCCCAGAACTCCACTGCTTCAGACCTTCAGTCCCCTTCCTTCTATTTAAACCCTGCTGTAGTCTTCATTGGTTCAATTGTTCTGTGTTTGGTTATGAGTCTGGCAACTGATCTTTGCACACTGTGCTTGATTGGTTAAGCCTGGTTGATGACTCAGAGCTTGAATAAACATAGAAGCTGCCAGAAACTAAAAGCTGAGTTTTAAGCACAATTCCTGGTGACTGATGGTCCTGAAATTTGGGTCTTTAACCTGTATCCTGGCATCGTTTAAGTGACTGTCAGATTTCCAATCCATATAATGGCTTCCTGGCATTTCAAACAAAACCTGTGTATTTTTGTTTTAAGACTGAAATTGTAGGTTGACATGAAGAACAGTTCAGTTTGGTCTGATGTTGTAACTGGAAGCTGTCATCACCCACAGCATAAATTAATCCACAATCCAAAGATGTGCAAGTGAGGTAGATTGGCCCATAGTGTCTATGCATATGC